CTTGGAGCAACCTGGGCTAGTGGAAGGTGTCCCTGCCCATGACAGGGGGTGGAACAAGATGAGCTTTAAGGTCCCTTCTAATCCAAACTATTCTATGATTTTAGGATCAAGGGCTCAGCATGTTTGACCACACTAAGCATTGCTCCTTTTGATCCAAGGCCATCCTACCATCTATTGACTCATTTGGACACACTGCATATGTCTTTTGTGGAGGTAATTCATTACTGTAAATCTCAAAGTTCAGGTATTTTTCTCTCTCTGCATATAGCTTTCATTTTTTTACTGGTAGCAGTGCTCACAGCAATGCAGTGACTTCCACGTAAGTGTCTGGGATGACATTTGGAAACGCCCTCCCTGTCTTCTGGCTGACGGTCCTTATTTTTTGCTGCAGCAAAATCTGGTGTTCCCAAGAAAACTCTGCCCAAGCTCATAATCTCACCACCATCCTGTGAGCAAAACTCTGCTGAGCCACTGCAAAGCCAGGCCACGGGGACACTGGTGGCATTTCTCCCTGCTCTGCCATTGTTGTGGCTGGTGGAGGCAGCTACAACAGCACAGCTCTGCGGTTCCTCCTGCTCCATTCAGCCTTGCCTGTACCTCTGCCTCTCCTCTTCTTGCTGTCAGCCAGGGCTTCAGTGCAAGGCTTTGGTGATCTCTAGGAGCTTCATTCCCGGGAAGTTCTCCATACCTTATCAATGTTAACCTTGGCTCCCCCACCAACCTTTAACCTTTTGCTGTGGGTTCAATTTTTGAAAAACTTTATTTCTCATCAGAGACTGTTGAACTCCCAGAGTCACCCAGAGAGCAACTCCAAGCTCCTTTGCAGCATCAGCCTCTCTCCATCGCCCGGGTTAAAAACCAGCTGTGAAATGTTTTGGATTTAGGTGGCAGACAGGTCCCTCACCTTCTGTGTTAGGCTCCAAGGGTCAACTCTGCCCAAGTTCTTGGAGAAAGGTGCAGCCTCAGAGGTGGCTGCCCTGTCCTTGCTCAGGCACTGCCATGTGCTATCACAGAATCATGGAATGGTTTGGGTTGGAAGGGACTTTGAAGATCATCTTGTTCCACCCCCTACCATGGGCAGGGACACCTTCCACTAGCCCAGGTTGCTCCAAGCCCTGTCCAACCTGGCCCTGAACACTTCCAGGGCTGGGGCAGCCACAGCTTCTCTGGGCAACCTGTGCCAGGGCTCCTCATAGGGAAGGATTCCTTCCTGGGGACTGTACACTCCTCCCAGGGAGGAAAGGGCCCCCAGCGGTGGCCAGGAAGCCTTTCTGGAAAACTGTCCTGCTGAACCAGTTCCAATTTGTATGAAATTCTTCAATATTCATCAGGGCAGGGAGCACACTGAGTTGGGTTGACAGGGGGAATACATTAACTGCCAGTTTGTGCCTCCACCCTCTCTCTTCCTCTACCACAAGGTGTTTTGTTTTGGACAAAAAAAGGGCAACTTCCAAGGAGTTCAGAGCTCAATGCTGTCTGGTTTGGGACCAGTGGAAAGTAGGACCTGGCCCAGTCCCACATTGCCCCACAAGTCAGATGATGATGGCTCTTTTCCCCCATTTTCTAGCAGATAACAAGTTTGTGGAAAACTACTTTATTCAGGTGGGTAACTCTGGAGTATTCAGGGATTCAGTGAGTATTCAGAAACCCCCTGAGGTTTTAGTTTTTGGAATTCGGAAAGCGCTGAAACCTTCTGATCTATTAATTGATAAAGAAAACACTTAATTTCCATGCTGTGTGAGCAAAGCTTTAAAAACAGCTTTTACCTCTGAAACTGAGAAAACGAAAGAAGTAAGAAAGGACAAAGTGACATCAATACACCAATCCACCAACCTTCCCCTCACTGAATTTTTCACATCAGTTTGATTCAAACCAAATTCCTTATTTTTTCTTTTTATGGTAACAACCAGTTCAAAGGCCCCACTGTTTCTCCAACCCCGTGGTTCTCTCAGAGAGCTCCTTGAGTGTGGTCTGGCTCTCATGCATCATCTTGCTGGATGCATCCCTCCTATCACCTTGTTTCAGCTGCCTGAATCACACCTGGAATCTCCTGGGTGCCCAGCATAGAGCCAGACCCAAACTCTTCCTGGTGGTCAAATCCAGAGTTTTTCCCATCACAGCACGAGGGCTTTAGCTGGAAAACTTTTTTCCAGCAGAAATCACCTTTCTCCATAAGTTTGCACAGTGCCTAAACAGTGGGCTCAGGTGAAAGTAGAAACAACTATTGTCATTATATCTTCTAGCTCGTAGAATCAGGGAATCACAGACTGGTTTGGGCTGGAAGGGACCTTAAAGCTCATCTCATTCCACCCCCTGCTCATTCCACCCCATTCCACTAGACCAGGTTGCTCCAAGCCCCATCCAACATGACCTTGAACCCTTCCAGGGATGGGGCAGCCACAGCTTCTCTGGACAACCTGTTTGGGTTAAGGGGATCAGAGCAGGGCAGCAGGGTGGCTGTGGTGGTGGTAATAATCAGCACAGGAAAAACTGGGATCACTTCCACTGGAAAATCTGTGTGAGAATGACTCCAGTGAGGTGCCCGACTCTGTTGTTTCAAGGTTATCAAAGAAATGATCACCCTCCCAGCTGTGATGTCCCACTCTGTGACATTAATGGCAGGGAAATTTAAAGCCAAAGGAATGTCTTGGCACAGTATGTAATTTGCCTGGGGAAATTAGTTTCAAAAAGGATCAGAAAGTTAAATACTACTGCTGAGCTTAAACGAAGGTGAATAATTTTATAGCCAAAATAATATTTTTCTACGATAAATTATGTAGAAGGCGAGAGTAATAAAATGTCATGCTCCAGGGTATAAAACAATCCCTGTAAAGGTCAGGAAGCTCTTTTAACATACCTGCACATACCTCCAGATGCATTTTAATTTGTTTGGATTTTGTGTCCTTGATTGGACATGATACTTGTCTTGCCTGAAGTTCCTCAAGGCCAAACACCTCATTGGGTGGACAGAGAAACCTTCCCCAGCTCTCCCGGGATATTGCTCCATCCTTTTAAGCATGAGGTGGAAGATTGTTACACATGTCACTCCTGTCCCATTCCTGCAAGACTTGGCATTGGTGGCATCTTACCCTCTGACTTGTGACTCCACAATTTTGCTGTTACAACACTGCCTCTGATTACATCAGGATTAACTTTTCAGCCCAAGCTGTCCACCCTGGGCATGATGCTTAATTCCTGCAGTGTGGAGTTCCCCAGTCTGGCTGTTGATGTTCTCTGTGCTTTGGTCTTGGATCATCCACAGCACATTCGGCGTTAAGAAGAGAAACTCCCTTTTTTCTTGCCTTTCTTCCTGCCACACATCAGCCATTAAAGCTGATCCCAGCCTTGTGCTCAGCAGGGGAGTGGAGCCAGAGCAGCTCCGAATCACCCAGCCTGGAGGTCCCATCATTGCCATCCTGGAGTGGGGCTTGACAAACTGCTGCAGCTCATCTCAGTCCCCAGCTCCTCCACATCCAGTGTGCTATTAAATATCCATTATGTACTACTAAACAACCCCCAAGCAATAAGTTTGGCCCCTCAGTCAGGTCAGCTCCACTCTCCGTGGCCCAAGCCCACATCTCCCTGCTTACCTGAAGGCTTCTCAGCTGCCTGCCAGGTTCCTCTACACAAGACAACATTTAGTGCTCATTCAGGGCAATTTACTGGGCTGGTTTGAATATGAGAGCTCTGAAATTTATTTCACACTTGTGAAACGAACCCAGACCCAGCCTCTTCACAGCGGCTGTCAGTGATGCTTGCAGCATCCTGCAATCCTGTGTGGAATTTGCTTGTGAGCTTTGTACAGTTACCCTCTGGGAGAGAGAAAATAGGGGAGAATTCAAGCTAGGAAAGGCAATTTACATTATTGAAGTGTTAAAGCAGGACAGAGCTGTTATCTCAAACCTAAAAGCAGCCAAAGACTTTGTAAAATACAGGATTTTCATAGAATCATAGACTGGGTTGGGTTAGAAGGAACCGTAAAGCTCATCCAGTTCCACCCCCTGCCATGGGCAGGGACACCTTCCACTAGCCCAGGTTGCTCCAAGCCCCGTCCAACCTGGCCTTGGACACTTCCAGGGATGGGGCAGCCACAGCTTCTCTGGGCAACCTGTGCCAGGGCCTCAGCACCCTCACAGGGAAGAATTCCTTCCCAGTATCCCATCTAACCCTGCCCTGTGTCAATGGGAAGCCATTGCCCCTTGTCCTGTCACCCCAGGCCCTTGTCCAAAGTCCCTCTCCAGCTCTCTGGAGCCCCTTTAGGCACTGGAAGGTGCAGAAGACAGATCACCTGAGGCATCTGCAAAGAGGTACCAGTAACCACTGCAGTCATGACATGGCCCTGGTCTCCCCCAGCCTTCAATCGGAGATGCCCAGAATGATCTTTGCCTCTTCCAGAGCAACGGCAGCTCCATCTCCTCCTTCTCCACCTCTCCTTGAGCAAGGTGACCCTCTGCACCTGCAGTTCCCCCTGTGACACTGTGACATCTTCAGAGCTGTGGTTATGAACCTGCATCATCTGTGCCCAAACCAACAAAAATACATCCCAAAACTGTCTGGCTTTGTATTTTCCTGGAGTTTGAGTCCAGTTGAAGGCATTAGACCATTTTTTCTATATTTTTGGATGCCACAAGTCAGTGCATTTCGGGTGAACATGGAGCCCTGTCACTCGGGTCAGATTAGAGCCTCAAGAGAGCAGAGCTACTGTCTGACAAGATGGGAAGCCACGAGGTGCCAGCACAGCCCCGGCGCTGCCAGGGAAGGTTTCAAAGTTCACACACCAGCCTGGTGCTCCAGCCTGAAGGAAGGGGGACAATCCAGGCACTCCAAACCCCCTCCCTCCCCAGCTGGCACAGGACACCGAGCTCACAGACTGAGCGATCTCACAGCGCTTGGGCAAGGCAAGAAATCCTCGTGGCTTCCCCTCCCAGCTCCCCACTTGCAGGCTGAGCCCTTCCTCCCAGACACTGATTTAAAGAGGTGCAGTTGAAAATGAGCTAATTTTGCTCTAAAGGCAGCGAGCCCCGACACAGGCACTGCACCCCTTGCCCGCTGTCACAGTGCACAGAGACTGTCACTGCGAGAGAGCTGCGCTTCATTTCAAGGTTGAATTTGTCCAGCTTCAGACCCTGGGACATTTACCTCCCTAGAAATAATGTGGGGATGCTGTAGTCCATTATAGCAGAGCTGTCACTTGATCAGATCTCTGGACAGGAGCTTGGTTTTTAACACCCTGATGTCCCCACATACCTCCTTCTTTGTACTCTATTTTTTTTTTCTTCGACATTAAGGAAACCATATTTTATTTTCAGGCTTTTCTGTGCAACTGCAAGGACCAGATACTCCTCTTAAATGACAAGAGCTGAGAATCTTTGTGTGCTTGCATGACCACAATGATTTTAAAAACTCCTTTAACTAAACCACTGCCCAGGTTTTACCCAAGATGTGTGAGGCTGATGTACGTGCGGGCTGCTGACACCCAGCACAGAACACATGAGCTCCAAAGCACCTCAAATTATCTCCTGTTGGCTTCTGAAGATACGTCTCCACCCTCCATTCAGAATGACAACTTTTGGCAACAACAAGAAAACAGAAATGACAGATGGTAACAAAATCTGGTACACAAACATGACAGTAGGCAGTATAATGAACATTTCACCCACTCCTTCATTTATGCTAATCGGTGCTTTTGAGCAACCGGAATTGTTCTGCCAGACAGCCGCGGATCTGAAGCACAGCAGAGCAAATCTCAGAGGGCCACCAACCTGAAACCAGGGTAAAACCTACCAAGTGACTCGTTGTGAATTGAATTAAAGTACCACTAAACTCCAGCCTGCTCTGGCGGACACTGAAAAATCCCCCCGCTCCCAAAAAGCACATTGACCTCTCCTCCTGCCTGAAATTCCTGCCCAGAAAACACCACGTCCACAAAATAGAGGCAGTCCAGTCTTCCTGCTACCCAAAGCTCCACCAAAACTCAGAGGAACCATCAAAACTGAGAACCAGCAGCCTTGCAGTCGGTACATACTGTGATAACAAAATGTATTTGCTTTGGTGATGAAAAATTGCCTCTAAAAAGCCCCTTTCTCCCAGATTCAGCTCTCTGGGATGGACTCTGTCCCCACAGGAAAATGGTTACTCTTCCCTTTGAAGCCCACTTATCTCACGCTGACATTCTCAGTGGAAGGTGCTATGTCACCCACAGACCTCCTTTTATTTCCTATAAAAATGTAAATCAGCCTATTTTTTCCCCCCAACAACCTTATGTAATGAGCAGTGTTCTCACTCAATCATTTTGAAGATGTGCTTTAGCCTCTATTTTATGCAGGAGTCTGTTGAGACTGAAACCATTCCTCTCCTCTTCCTGATATTTCAGTGCTTGCAATAGATGGAGCTGATGCAAAGCTCTATTGCTGTTTCTGGGGTGGGCAGGATCTGAAGACATCTCAGAGAGCAACAGCAACACCCTTATAATCTCCCGGGGGTATAAAATAATTCTTCCCATAAATAAATTGCCAGTGCTTTCAGGAAAAAAGGGGCAACCTTGAGCAATTGCCCCCAGAGCCAGCTGGGGTGTGTAATTGTACAAAACTGTGTATATTTGTAATTATAAATGGGGTCCTCCGTGATGAACATTTCCAGACACTGCCCTTGTGGGTCCCAATTTTCCTTTGCTTACAGTGCTGTCAAACATAACCCATGGCAGATTCTGGGACAGAATCACAGTGAAAACTCATGAGAAAAAGAGCAAATTTTGGCCAAAACATTTCAGTTGCTTTTGAGGTGAAAAACCCCACTATATGATCCTGGTGTGCTTCCAGTACCCAGGTCTGTGCTCAGCCCCAGGAGAAGGGGCTGGAGATAATTTTTATGTCATTTTTATGTCAGCAGTTCATCTGATCATAGAATCACAGATCTCCAACTGTGCTCATGAAGATCCACCCAGATTTCTCCAACGAAGAGAAAACTTTGCTTTTCCTGCCTTTTTTCTTATCCCTTTGTCATTTCCTGCCCTGGGTGAAGCATCCCAACCTGTTTAGTTGTTCCTTGGGTGGAAACTACTCCATTTCTTTAATTATCCTTGTTGCCTTCCTCCTTCTCTCCTGGCCCTTCTGAAAGCAGGTTGCCCAGAGAAGCTGTGGCTGCCCCATCCCTGGAAGTGTTTGAGGCCAGGTGGGATAAGGCCTTGAGCAACCCAGTCTAGTGGGAGATGTCCCTGCCCATGGCAAGGGAGGTTGGGACTAGATGATCTTTAAGGTCCCTTCCAAGCCTTAATGTTCCATGATTCTATGATTTGGACTCCAATGCTCCTCCCCAGCTGGACTGTGCCTGGGTCAGCTCCCAGCCCACACACCATCTCCATCGATGGCAAGGAGATATTGCTCAATCTGGCTTTCCCAGACCTCATCCCATCTCAGACCAAAGCCCTTTCATAGCATAGTTTGGGTTGGAAGGGACTTTGAAGATCATCTTGTTCCACCCCCTGCCATGGGCAGGGACACCTTCCACTAGTCCAGGTTGCTCCAAGCCCTGTCCAACCTGGCCTTGGACACTTCCAGGGCTGGGGCAGCCACAGCTTCTCTGGGCAACCTGTGCCAGGGCCTCAGCACCCTCACAGCCAAGAATTCCTTCCCAATATCCCGCCTAACCCTGCCCTGTGTCAGTGGAAATCCATTGCCCCTTGTCCTGTCCCTCCATCCCTTGTCCCAGGTCCCTCTCCAGCTCTCTGGAGCCCCTTTAGGCACTGGAAGGGGCACAGAGCTGCCTCTTCTCCAGGCTGAACATCCCCAGCTCTCCCAGCCTGGCTCCAGAGTGGAGTTGCTCCAGCCTTCAGAGCATCTCTGTGGCCTCTTCTGGACTTGCTCCAGCAGTTCCACATCCTTCTCATGTTGGGAACCCCAGAGCTGGAGGCAGCACTGCAGGTGGGGTCTCACCAGAGCACAGCCCACCCTCACCTTGCTGCTCCTCTTCTGACGATGCAGGCCAGGACATGGTTTGCTTTCTGGGCTGCCCCTTCAATCTGTAGGTACAGATGGCATCTGTTAAAAGATAAGCAAATCCTAATTTGTTTTGTTTTGTTTTGCTTTTAGGGTTTTTTCCAAGGGTTTGCACAGACACAGAGGCTTCTCATCCCCTACCACCCATACTCCCCTCTTCATTTTCCTGGTGTCAGAGCTAGGAAGCCACACATGATGTTCCTTCTCTCCAAGACCTGGTGAACTGGCTGGCAGGTCGTCTGGTGAGAAGGGATCTGTCCTGGGATGCTGTGAAAAGGTGGGAGCTTCTGCCTGTTGTTTGCCACGGAAAAGGGAAGATGTCTGTGTTCAGCTGCTGCTGATACCAGGAACATCAGCTCAAACCCAGGAACACCAGCTCAAACCCAGGAACATCAGCTCAAACCCAGGAACATCAGCTCAAACCCAGGAACACCAGCTCGGGACGGTGCTGCTCCAGTGCTGCTGTGGCTGAAGGAGGCTTCACCCCATGTCCTTGGCAGCCCAGGTGTGTTCACAGGGGTCCCCCAGCCTGAGGTCCCCCCGTGCCCCGGTGCTGCCCAGCCACGGAGACCCAGCTCTGGCACGGGATGCGTGGGGCACAGGGGCGGGGATGTGGTGCTGGGTGGTCTCCGTGGCTTTGCTGCAGCTCCTGGGGCCAGAACCCCAACAGCCTCCAGCTCTGGCGGGGCCGTCCCCACATCCCGGCTCGCTGGACACACTCAAAGTTCACGGTGCTATAAATACCCGGAGCAGGGCGCCAGTGCTCCCGGCCGGGTGGGGGGGCTGAGAAAACCCGAAGGGTTTTCGTTGCAATTAACCCTGTGGGTGCACAAGTCCTCTCTGTGCAGTTTGAGAAAGAGGAATCCTCCGATTCAGAACGTTTCTAAAGCCAGAAGAGTGCAGCAAACTCCTTCTGTGGGCTGATTCCTGCTGGGAACAGCCCTGGGATAGGTACTGGGATTGGAGGAGCGCAGGAGGCTGCAGGACAGCACAGGGTTTGTGGTTTGTGGCCAGGAACATCCACAGTGTGACCCCCCAGCTTGGGCAGATCCTCGTGCTGGGGACACGGTGATGTGGGGCCAGCATGGCTTGTGTTGTCCCCTAAAGCAGAGGCTGCCTGTGCACCTCTCACTGCCCTCAGAGCACAGCCTGGTGCTGCACAGCCCCACACCCTGCCCTGTACAGCCCCATACACTACAGTCCTTTACCCCCGAGCCTGCCCCATGTGCAGGTCTCACTCCCAGCAGAAGGGCTAAAACTTGTTGAAAATCCCAGAGTGCCACAGAAATGCCCTAAATCAGGACAAGCTCCATTGCTGGCTCAGGGACAACCCCAAAACGCGGAGTCCCCAGCGGTGTCAGGTCACCTGAGGCACAGCACAGTGCAGTGAGGTGTGAAGGGGCTCTCTCTGGAAAGCCAAACACATGGGAAGACCCCCCCTACCCTACTCGAGGCTGTACAGAGCCCTTTCACGGTGCCAAATGTGTCTTCTTAAGCATTTCCCTCACAAACTCTACTCTGCTGGGTTGAGGGGCAAGACAGTCTCCAAGGAAGAGCCTCTTCCCCCTTTCACCCTGTTCAGAGCAATGGCAGAGGACAAGCCTGCAGAGCAGAGCCTGATGAGCTGTCTGTGACCTTGTGGCTCCTGCTGGGGCTGGACACAACTCAGTGCACACATGGCTCAGGACCGAGCAAGGTCCTTGTCACCGAAGGTCTCACAGCACCCAGGGCTGATCCCCAGCTCCAGCGGGGCTGGGCTGTCCTGAGCACAGGGTTGGACATCCCCAGGGTCTCCCAGACCAGGGGACCCCCTCCCCACTCTCCAGGGAATCTCATGGGCCTGCTCAGGTCACAGTGCCCAGCTGACCCTGCCACAGAACAACCTCATTTCAGCCTCAGAAATGTCACCTTTCGTGTCCCTTCGGGCCAAGCAAAGGCACCTTCACCACTTCACTCTCCATCATTTCCCTCTCCTCCCCATCACCACCGCAGTTCCACCTTGGTGCTGCAGGATGCCACAGCTCTTCCTCACACCTGACCAGAATTTTGTGTTACTCAGGTCGTATCTCCTCATGCCCACAGGGTCCTGCCCCACGGCTGCGCCCTGTGCCCCGTCCCCCACGCTCCCTGTGCTGGCTGCCCCAGGGCTGCTCCCTCCACGCCCCCACGGCCACCGCGTGTGGCATCGCCGGGTTCCGTGCCCTGCACGGCACCGGAGCAGAGGAGCCGGAGCCGGAGGCACTAGGGGGAGATAAAGGCCGGGACATGCCGGGCCCTGCGCCCTCGCCAGCCCCTCCTGTCCCCTTGTCCCCAGGGCCACCCTGGTCCCAGCTGCTGTCGGGGACAAAGAGGAGAGCTGCAGGTTTCCACCTGTCACAGTCCCGTTGCTTTGCGGGGTCTTTCCTGACATCTTCAGTCTCTGGGAAGCACCTCTGGCAACGAGAGGCCTTATGGCACTTACATCTTCATGCAGCAGGTATAAAAGCAAGAAGCCACCTTCTCCCACATGCAAAGAGCACAGGGGCACCCCAAAAACTCACCCAGGGGGAAGGAGAACAGCATACAGCACCCAGACCAGGGGCCAGCAGGGAAGGAGGGGTCTGGGGACCCAGCCTGGAAGCAGAGAGTGACACACACTGCTGAGCTGAGCTGGAAGCTCAGCCTGTCCTTGCCCCAACTCCCCTTTCCCAATGCCCCTCAGGTGCACTTGGCATTGGCACAGCCATGACAGCCTTCACAGGACCCCAGCACCAGCAAACTGGGCACCTCCAGGGCTAAAACCATTCCAGGGGACATCTGGCTCTAGGCACCACCCCAATATCACACCAGCTCCTCTCCTCCCATGGATGTTCCCTTCTACAGGGGCTCCCTGCAGCCCCTCTCACCAGAGATGGGAGGATTTCAGATGGGCAGAGTTTGGGGGAGGTCCCAGGAGACAAAGAGCCAAACCAGCAGGACCTGTCCCCAGCAGAGTTGTTTGTGCCCAGCTGGATCACACAGGGCCCTGTGGGTGCAGCCCTGGCTCCCGTGTCGTGAATTGGTGCCAGATGCTGGGCAGGCACAGTGCGAGGGCAGCTCCGTGGGCAGGAGCCACGTGAGGGGGGCACTTCTCCCTTGTATCTTCTATGGATTGGAAAGAAAAGTCACATCTTACCCCGTTTTTCCAGTGTGACTGGCACAGAGTTAACCCAAATACTACTGATAAAGGTTTGTATGTTGCCTGTGACGCCATTAATCCCTAGTGCCCTTGGGACCTGGGCTCACCAGGCACATCCCTGAGCTCCCCCTAAAAAACCCCCACAGCACCTGCCCCCAAACCACCAACCTACCCCAAACTTGTGTTTTCTCTCCCACTCTCCAGTTTGGTCACACCATGGCACCGCTTCCCCTGCAGTCACATCTCTGGTTTGCTCATATTCACAGTTATTTACAGCTCCAGCTCCACAGTTCTCAACACCCTCACTCTTGAACTTCCCATCTGCCGGCGCTGGAGGGGAACAGGGCGGCTGGTAACGCAGTCGGGATGTTGGCCTCAGCCCAGGAGGCTGGATGCAGAGGGAGGAAGGCAGAGGGGTGTCTGGGGCAGGGTGTCATCTGAGCCCCTGCGGGAACAGGGTGTCTTTGCCTCGATATGAGCTGGCAAGAGCGAGAGGAGGGAAGGAGATCCTCCGTCAGCGCTTTGCTATGCACCGCACTCCCTGTCCCCCACTCCCGGGGCACACGGACTCACCGCTGTGGTGGCAGCACACCCATACCCAGGGCTGCTCATCCTGGCTCCTCGCTCCCTCCCAGGCCTGGAAAGTTTCACGGCTTCGTTACAAACACACGCTCAAAGAGCAGAGACTGGGTGCATCAGTGCTTTTCCCGTGCTGTGAGGCGAGGGAGGTGCACACGGGAGCACCCCATGGCTCACCCCGTGTGCTGAGTGTGCACTGATGGAGGCAGCTCTGACGTGATGCTGTGGATATGAAAGAGCTGTAGATTTGTGCTCAGCCCCCAGCACAGCCCCTAAACCTTTTGGAGGCTCTTGTGCAAGTCTGGGGTTTGCACTGTCTCTTAGCCAGTAGCAGATACCCGTGGATTTGCAGTAGTTTTACCTGGAAGTAAAGGCTTATTTTTTCTGCTATTTTTCAATAACATTAAATAAAGACAAAGGGATTGCCTGGGATTGCTTGTGGCACCCAGTGCTGTGACTGCAGCACAGCTTCCCCACTGTGAAACGCATCCTGTGCCACCATGGGACACCAGTCCAGGATCTTGGGCTGCAAACAGGCAGGGATTGGAGTTTGTTTCAATTGTTTCCACGCTGCTGTTTTGCTTTTAGCAAATCATTCCTAAGATGGTGCCATTCTGCTGCATGTTCTACCCATTCAATTCCCATCTCCCAGCTTGGACACAGCCTTTGAAAAAGGACACCTCCAGTGCACCCCCAGCACTAACCCAGCCCCTCTTCCAAAAGGCTCCCGCTCACAGGTGCCTCGTGCCAAGCCCAATGTGGTCACTTGTCTCAGAGTGTCGAGTACAAAGCATATGCAGGACAGATGGGTATGAGGCTTATAAGATAATTAAGCATGTTAATGAAGTTCATTTGCATCTAGCTCTTAAATTCCCATAAACTCGGCGAAGCTGGGAAATGAGAATCGCTGCTCGACGCCACAAAGCAGCAAAAGTTTAGTTACCAAAAGAAAATGATAATTGCCAAGTCGAGACCCAAAGTCATCACGGCCCAGCCGGTTGCAGCCCCCCAGGCCCCCGTGGCAGAGCTGTGACACTCGATGCCACCGATGCCACTGCAGCGGCCACAGACGTTACCACAGAGTGCTGATGGGCTTTGCTGGACTGAAACAGCACAAAAACAGGGAGGGGGGGGGAATCACTGCTCCAGGGAAAGACCTGACCCAGAGATGGAGGAAAAGCTCTGAGTGGTGGTAAAAGGAAAGCCCATGGCTGGTGTGGGGAGCCAGGTGAGAGCACCTCCTCTCCATGGGCTGCCCCTGAAGCAGGACCAGGGCAGGGTCCTTTGGTGAAGCCTCAGCGATGGCACAGCAGAGAGAGGCAGGTGGGTACCCCTCAGGCACAGAGGGAGTCCAGGGCTGTGACCAGAGAGAGCTGGAAATGCCTCATGAAACTAGGGGAACAGCTGGAACTTGGGGATTGCCAGGGAACACCCAGGAGAACAAGGGTAGGAGCTGAGAGGAGATCTGCCCCACACTCACCTTCCCCAGTGCCGGAGCTGGGAGGGCACAGGGGGTCCCCGTGCCCAGCCAAGCCCAGAGGTCACCTGCAAGTTCTCAACTCCCCAGGAAAGCTGAAATATCACCTCCAGTTCAGCAAGGAGGGCACAAGCCAGGCAGTTTCCAGCCATCCATGGATCACAGACTGGGAGACAGCTCCAGCTACTGCAGCACCTCTCCATCACCCCTGAGCTGATGGTGGTTCCTCAGAAGCAGAGACCCCACGAGCAGCACAGCTGTTGTCCCCCATTGTCCCAGAAGGCCTTTTGGGAACTGCTGTGAAGAGAACTCTGGGCTTTGTACGGAAAGTCCCCACGTGAACTAATCAAGCACAGGGTGGATCTTTCAATACACCCAACGCTGATGTACGACACATCCTGAACAAGAACCAAAGCACAGAGAGAGAAGAAACTTTAACATGGGGTTACCCAGGACAAGACAACACCAAACTGAACACAGGAAGGCAGGGTTTATTTGAAATACCTCAGTAAGATTTATTAAAAATATCCCTTGGCAGTTGACAATCACCATGATCCACAATTGGAACCTGACTGGACAACATTGGAATGGTTTTCGCCTATAACAGAAGGTGAACACCCAGGAACACCACAGCAAGGCCTACACATCCCTACTGGCATCAAACACCTGGGCTGGAACTGAGGAGCACGGGGCAACCCCTGGCTGTGGCACCAATCACACCACAGGCATTACTGTGTGCTCTGATACTTACCTGGGCTGTGGGAAAACCCAACTATTTAAAATACGGGGAAAAGAATTCATCAGAACCCAGATTCCACCTCTCCATGCTTCCAGGGGGACAAAGCTCTTGGTCTTGCTGTAGCTGAGGGAGAGCATCAAAATGGGAAGTGGGAGGTCTGGCTGGACCCATCCCGATGCTGTGGCTGCCCCGTGAGAAGGGTCCGGTGCCGCAGGACACGATGGCAGTGGGGCACTGGTCATCGACAAGGAGCAGGATCCAGAGGAAACCTTCACATCTTCCAGCTCAAACCCTGGCTGGGCAAGGGCTCAGGGCTTCATTAGGGGATTCATCCCCCAGGGAAACCCCATGAACACATGGTGGAAGGCTTAGGAGAGACCCCAAGGGAGGCTGGGGGTGGCTGGTGGGACAGACAGACAGACAGGATTTGCTCTTTGGGTCAGATTCCGATATTGGAAGCCCCAAGGCTCCTCTTCTCAACCCACTCAGCCAGTCCTTGCTCTGTGGACACTCACTCCAGAATAACTGCCTCACTCCCCTTTCCAAGCGGCTCGAGGGAATCAGAGTGAGGCATTGCTATTCCAGAGCAAACCATCGGTGCTCTCTGCTAAAGAGAAAAATAACTACTTCAAATTTATCCCCCATTCTGGCCAACACAAGCTCCCTGGGGGGAAAAGCTCTGCTGACACCTCCTGCCACAGCTGGCAGTGACCTCCGGTGGCTGCACTGCCCCTTCCCGACACTTCAGAGCTGCACTGCAATGAGGAAAATCAGGAAGGAGTCGTTTTCTCACCCAGCACTGGGAACAAGAAGGTCATTTATCACCAGCTTCATGTAACAAATTCCTTTCACGTTTAAAACACATCCCAGGTATGTCCCTAATAAAAAATTAACTCAGTGGCTTTGTGATTACCAAAGAAACATTGTCAAAAGCCAGATCCAAACCAAAGGGCTGAAAAACCTTCTGTTCCGAACTGTTCCTCTTCCAGACCACGTGCAAACGGCTGCAGCTGAAGTGGGGCTGGAGCAAAAATACAAAAGCAAACCGATTTGGAGTTGACACAGTGTATTGTGAATTACTTCTCAGCTTTTCTACATCTAAGAGAGCGTGAAATGAGCGTCCGTACAGTGAAACAGTTCAATATACAATTGGTTACAGAGCTGCAGATAGTACGTTGGATCTATGTACACACAACGCTTAATATTTCACAGATACAACTTTTTTTCCATCTCGGTTTTGTCCACAAAGCATTGGCAGAGTATTTACAGCGAGGCCTCTGCGAGGAAGCCCCATCCCCTGTCACAGCCCCATCCGAAGCTGCTCGAGCAGTGGGTGTAAACAGAGCGGTTCCCTCTTCCTGCAAGGGAGGGACAAGGTGGGGAACACGGGCTGAGCTGGGCAGGAGGGAAGAAATGATGTCCAGCTAACCTGGAGGTTTCAAAACAGTTTGATTTGCCTTTTTAAAAATTTGTAACTGGAAACTGCTCTTGGTTAATTTTCATTTCGTAATTCAGTAACGTTTCGATGACGTTCTCAGTTCATGCTTTCTACCCCTCTGTATTTCTGTTCATCCCCACGTGTGCCTGTGCAAGGTCAGGCAGTGCTGAAGCCTTGGGTCAGCACCGAGGCAGCTCCTCAAGGAAGCAGGGGATGCTCAAGGAAACAAGGGAATGCTCAGGGGTCTGTGCTGGCTCCCAGACCCAGCCCCTGGCGAACCAAAGCCAACCCTGGTTTCAGCTGATTACTCCAAAAATAATCTCTCTCAGGCTGTTTGTAATCAGGTGCTGCCACCCTCGATGGCTCATACAGGGGGAGGTGTAGGTGTCACTGTGTGGATGGAGGGTGGGCAGACCCATCCCCATCCCATCCCCATCCCCATCCCATCCCCATCCCATCCCCATCCCATCCCCACCCTCATCCCTCGCCCCAGTCCAGTCCCCATCCCATCCCCGGCCAGCCATGGGCAGACAGCAGCGCTCCGATTTCTAGCGCAGGGTTTCAGTAACCAGCAGAAATTTGCTCCCACGAGAAGAGCAAACCAACAGGCAGGAGGGAACGTGCATTTACAAAGGTGTCCACGGACTGGCTGCACAGAGCAGGCAGTGGGATGTTGTCCTAGAGCAAACCTTCTGTATTCGTGCTTAATTAGATGCTGCTACTTTTGGTCTGTGTTTGGCCCAGCCACCTGTGAGAGTCTGTTCTTTTCCTACCAGGTTATAAGAAAACAAGCACTGATAAAGGAGAACTCCGTCCTTGAAGGAAGCATCTCATATAAATTGAAATTAATTGGTGACTGGCTATTGGCTGATGGCCCTCCGAGGGCATTTGAAGGAGGAAGCGAAGAGGAGGAGGATAAAGTAAACCCCCAGACTCATTTAGGAAACACCCCTGAGGTGCAGCACACAGGCACAGGGGAATTCCAGTTACACAGGAGTGCACAGGAGGGGCACCACCTGCACCACAGGGGGGAGGGACTGAGGGCCTCTGGCTGGGCAGTGCTGGCCACACCTGCCCAGGTAGCCATCACAGGTTAATTGTATGAAAAGCAGAGAGCTCGTGTTGGGAGCAAACTCAAGCTTCACACGGAGGACAACGTTGCCTTTTGTGGGGACACCCGCTACCGTGTGAGCCTGCCGACAGCCCGAGGATGCAACCTCTGCTATGGGGAACTCTGAGCATTCTGGGGTCAGTGAGAAACCTTGTAAGTAACACCTGAGTGAGTGGGGTGTTGTACTGAGGGCTTATTTCCCTTCTCTTTCCTCTCTCTTGGGTTCTCGTTTTGTTGGCCACTTCTTTGTGATAAATATTGTTTTGTCGAGCTTTCAGCAGTGTGGTGGTTTC